TCAGAGCATTTATTTAACGCTGCATCCTTATTTGATTTATAGGCCCTTCTGCTTTTTTATTTATATCACTTTAACCAGATTCTTTTTATATCATTTATTACAGTTTTACTGAAATTGTGTTTCCATTTTCTTAAGGCAAGTTAGAGTCATCCTTAGGTAACTTTGGAAGTTGTTGTTTTAAGCTTTCATTTGTATTTTATATGATGCAAATAGAACCATGTCAAATATAGTTTCTTTTGTAGTCCTTATGATATTTGTTTTTAGTTGTTGTGATATTTAACTTTAATCTGAACTAAGCAGTATTGTTCATTTATGCTTTAACTTTTGCATGAAACAACTTGTTCCTCTACAAAATGCCAGTAAAACTCGCTGTAAAATGGATAGTAGAATAAAATTCTTGAGTCACTTAAATGATTAATAAAAGTATTTTTAAGTTTCTGAAATTTAAGAAGCTTGCAGTATAGTAAGGCGACAGTGTAATGGAGTGATACAGATTCTGCATTATTGGTTTCTGAGAGCGATCAGTAAGAGAGGAGTAACCAACACTTGATCCTTTAAACACACAAATACAATCATGTCAAAGATTCTGCATGATCTCGTTTCTTTCCTTCTCCAGCTTTCTCTCTCATCATTTTCCCTCTCCAACACATTTATATTGAGAGTCATTATATGAATGACCATTGGAGGCTTTCAGAGGGTTGAGAGAGAGAGATTGAGATCTGTCACTTTCCAGTTCTGTCACGTATTAGCCGAATGACCTTGGACTAGTTCTGTAGTCTGTCTGATACTGTTTTCTTTGTCAGTAAAATGGATATATGGATGGTTGCCTCATGGGTTGTGATGGGGATTAGAAATAATATACAGAAAACCATACAGCCCTTGGCCCACATAGAAGGAACACAGAAAATGAGAGCTATGATTATTAAGTGCCCTCATGGTCACTTCCATATTGTTAGAGGTCTGTAATTTTGGCTTCTGGTTTAAAGGGCTTGCTGTTGTCAAGTGTTCTGGAGCTTTGGGAAAGAGATGTTCTCAGGTGATTGGGGAATAGGATTAGTTTTCACCACTGATGCTTGTCTTTATGGAATCAACAATGTTTTTAGAAGTGTCAGGCTTCAGAGAATAGAATTGAGGATAATGTCTAGAGCTGTAGTTCTCAAAGCTGCGGCGTATTGGGAAACCTATAGATCTGTTAAAATATTGGTGTTGGGCCTCTTTTCAGACCCAACAGAATCTTTTGGGGGTGGAGCCTCAGCATCTTTTGGGGGTGGAGCCTCAGCATCCCTGTTTTTATCATGTTATCCAGGTGTGTCTCCTCCTAGAGCTGCTTGAGAAAGGCTCAGGAGACAGTTCTGCAGCCGCTTGGAGGAAGGTATTGTGTGGCTGCTCTGAAATTCACTTGCAGTGGGAATGACTGGAAATGTATGTATGGGTTATTTGGGAGAGGGTTATCATTATAGGTTTAAAAACTAGCTACAGAGCTTGAGTGGGAGAGATAATGATTTTAAAGTATTGTATGTAAAAAATTAAACTAGAGGATGTTTTCTATGTTCCTATTTGCCATAGATTAAACAATTAGCAGATATGATGACTTTATGACTAAAGGAGCATTTTGACATATTATACTGGCATCTGAAGACTTCTCTTTTGTGCACTAACCTTAATACCAGTTCACATCATATACTCAAATTTTAAAAAAAGCCAAGCACATTATATTACGTTTCAATAAATGTATATTCACTTATATGTATGTGTGTGTGTGTGTGTGTGTGTGTGTATGTATATGTATATGTATATGTATATATTCTATATCATTCAGTGTGGTAAAAGTCTTTTTGAGTTTTAAAAGAAATTTTTAAAAATTAATTTTTTAAATTGAAGAAATGATTTCAAATTTTTCCCCCATCTACCTCTCCCTTCCCTCCTCCCTGCTCTGGTAGAGAGAAATTTTTTATATTGTAGTTTTATTCATAGAGATAATACCATTTTTTAATATTTAGAAAAGTTAATCAAATATGTATGGTATAAATATGAATATTAGATATAAAAATAGGGAAATTAAAAGTGAGAAAGGAAAGAGAGGAAGTCAGATAAGAGAATATTAAAAGCAGGAGAGTGAGAGGGAAAAATATAGAAGAGAATATGCCAGATTTGTTTATTAGGGAATAGATATAAATGTTTCCCTAATTTAAAAAAATTTTTCTTAAGTGAGAAAGAACCAGAGATGATAATTGAGGAAAAAAAAAATATTAGGCACTCCTTCTCTCCCTTTCAGCTCACTTTTACCTGTAGGATTTTAGGAGAAGGAACAGTTATGGTATGGGGTTTTAGAGGGAATGCATTAACTTTCCTGATAGGATTAATCAAATAAAAGCTAGGACAGAGTGCTTATATTTCTCTTTCCAATTATTTCAATTTCTGTGTTAGGATTCTGGCTGCTTGCTGTCATTAGATACTTGTACATCTTGGAATCTTTGCTGCCGGGTTGCAGTATAGGTCAGGTAGAGTTCAAGGCTGTTGAGGATGGGCACCCAGCAGCATCACATACTTCCAGAATCAGGGAACTTGATTGCTAACAGACACCAGATTCTTAACAAGGTAGATGTGTTTGCCAAGTTGTAGCTGGTAGTTAGCTGTAGTACCCCTCTAGTAATTCCCACTAAGTATCTATTCAGCTGGGGCCACACCGTTCCTCTGTAAGAAACACTAAGATTTTTTTGTGAGGTTGAAGCCCTGGGTCTAGTAGTTAATATTTGCTCTAGATGAGTAGCAGGAAGAAATGTCTTCTTCCCTTTCTGAGTAGCTTTTGCTGTTCAGTGAATCTGGATGGCACTCTTTTATTGCTCTGGTTTAACTGCTGATTACCTTGTTCATGTCCAGAGGGTGAATAAATGAACCTCCAGTACAGTTTATACATAATTCTTGTGCTGTTTTTTTGGTCTAATCACAATAAGGCTTTTACTTGGTTATAGCCAGAGCAAGAGCATTATCTTTTGCTCCAGTTTTCTGATTCATTGCACATTAATGGTATGTGCTTTTATTAAATGACTCCCATTGTTTCCATGGCATCATATATTCAGTTTATTATATGGCCACCTGTAGCCCTTTTTCCCTGTTCTCATCAGCAAGGGCAATTATGCTTTTTGTGTGTGCTCTTTGTAGTTTATTTTACTATATATTCTTATAGGCTACTTGCAAATTAGTGTATGAATTCCATTCTCCTGTTTTCCGTTTCTTTTTTTTCCTGGCTTACTGGCCTAGTTATGTATGTTAATTGTGTTTCTCTTTCTTTTTTATGAGTAGTTTCCTAACCTAGCTTTTTAACCACTTCTACTTTTGTGATCATGTTTCTTGTCACTTTTATTGATTTACCCCAGTCTTATCCTTAGTCATCCTTTCACTGGCAGCTCTGCCTTTGATTCCTCTTTATTCTTTGCTGTTTAAATCAAGATCATAACAGCTTCCAACACTGCCATTTGTTTGTGTTCACTGAAGGGCTCTGCTGATATGAAGATGAATCAGAAGATATAGTCCTTAAGGATAACTTTGTGGGGAGACTGATACGTATATGCTCATCACATTATCTATTGTTTATATGTGTCTCTTCCATTAGCTTATAAGCATTAAGTGTTCAACTAATGTTCATCAAATCAGTGAATGATGTGTATGTGTGTTTAATGAATGATAAGGGCTATAAAAAGTGAACAGAGTGCTATGAGAAACAGGTGAAATAGCAATTTTGTTAAAGTAGCAGTCCCCAACCTTTTTGGCACTGGAGACAATAATCTAATGCCTGATGATCTGAGGTGGAGCTGAGGTGCTGATGCCAGCGTTGGGAGCAGCTGCAAATACAGATGAAACTTCACTTGCCCACCGCTCATCTCCTGCTGTGTGGCCCAGTTCCTAACAGGTCACGGACCGGTACTGGTCCACGCCAGAGGGTTGGGAACCCTTGTGTTAAAGGATAGTCTGGAAGGGATTTATAGGCAATGACATTAGAGTTTGGCTTTGAAGGTATTACTGCCAGAGAAAATTTAGGAAAAGAAGTTATGGAGATAATGAGTATGTCTGGACATTCGGAGAATGCACTCTAGGTGTGGCTATTTGACAGTGCAGTTAGCAAGGGCTGGGCTGCAAAGTAATGTTGTGGCGCTTCCAAGCCCATTATGCTAAGGAATTTGGAACTTTATCCCATAGGTGATAGTTGTTGAAGAGTTATAAAAGCAGAGTTGTTAGGCTGTTTCAGAAAGATAACTTTGGTTGCAATATGGAGAATAGATCAGGAGCAGAATAATTTAGGAATCTTTTTACCATAATTTAGGCTCAAGATGATGCTCTGTACAGAGGCAAGGGGAAGAGAAAAATTAGAGAAATATCTTAATTTTTTTCAACAGCTTTATGGAGCATATTTTATATAGTGTAGCAGAGAAACATTTTAAAGATAGTATGTCTACCTCTCTTAAATATTGCAGATTAAATAGGCAAAAGAATACACAGATGTTCAATTAATTAATAAATCCAAAATTCCCATATGCTATAAAGTTGTGTTGTATATAAAACATTTAACTGGGAGGTAGTTTAATTGTTGCCCAAAAAATTATCTTGAATAAGTTTAATATTTGATATGGTAAACACTTTAAAGTGACTAGAAAAGACATTTTGCAAATTAAAAATTATACTTTAAAGATAGTAAGAGTTTAGATTCTCTTCTTTCTTTAAAGAGATTTTTTTCATTGTACCTTTCCCTCAATCCTTTTTTCTCTTTTATAGGAAATGGTGATGTTTTATTATATATATATTCTTATGCAAAGAATATATATTTAAGACCTACTTAAATATTAGAATATCAGGAACTCTTAAGAGGGTATAAAGATAACTTTTAGAGATGACAGAATCCTTTTCTGACTTAGTGGAAGGCAAGATGAATCAGAGCATTTTCTTTACAAACATTATAACAACATTGTAACTGATGTTCAGGGGATGCTGATATGTGATTGCAGGTAAATTGGCAGGATGAGGAGCAGCAAATCAAAAGAGGTGCCTTTACCAAGTCCAAGGAGCTCTCAAAGCAAGGATGCTGTGCAAGGTATGATTTGTTTTTTTAAAAACTGAACTCAATCCCTTGTTTGAGTCATATGTATAAAATTTAGGGCTAACCAATAAATGAAAATTACACATAAGCTTTGATTTATAAAAAGTGGCTAAATTAAAAAATTCAGTTTTGTTTTCAAAGGCATGCTATGGTAAACTTTTGTAAAGTAAAAAATTATTTTTAAAAAAGGATCAGTATATGTAAAATTAGTTTTACACAATTAGAAATTCTGACTTCACATCAATAAATGGTATAATATAGCTTTTAATACAGTTATAGACCAATAGTGCACAGATAACAAAAGTAATTTTTTAGATGATGTGTTGGGAGTAACTTTAATTTAGATTATGATATTTTTTGAGGGACACTGACAAACTGGAGTACATCTGGAGGAAGATTATTGGGTTTGTGAGGGATCTGGAAATCATGTCACATGAGGAGCATTTTGAGGAAATAAAAATATTTATCCTAGAGAAGGATGACTCAGGAAATATTGTGGCCTTATACTATGATTTGAAGGTCTATTAATCTGAAAGAATAAATAGATTATACCTTTGTTTCTACTGATATTCTAAGTCTGGAGTAGTTTTCTAATCTTTACACATCAGAATGTGAAATGCAATACAATACAATACAAAATTTTGTATTGGTTCAGTTCTTTTGGGGTAAATTGTTGGAGATATCTAATGGTGATATGGGTGGGAGTTAGTCCAACTGTCCTATGGACTGATGGGACCTGTGTCGAACTAAACCATGTGTTGAGAGAAGAACCATGTTTTGACTCACTATATGATACAACACTTGCTGAGGAATAGTTCTGCCTAATAAAGTGATTCTCGCTTTTGAGTGCATTTGGGAGCTTATTAAAAATGCAGGTTCTGAGGTCCATTTCAGAGATTCTGATTCAGTGAATATCAATGTTCCCCAGCAGATATAACCACATCGTGGGATGCACTTTCTCAGACCAAGGCTGCTGTAAGTAGTTATGGCTTTCATTTTTTCTGGTTTAAAATTGATTTTTTGTTATGATTGAATGCAGTTTTTTCTATAGTGCTTTTTTGGAGGAAAAATAAAGTTAAATATTTTGGTAGTAGTTATGTACCATATATTACAAAATGAATGTTAATGACAACTATTAAACAGTAAAAGAATAATCCAGATACTACTTTAGATATCAGGAACATTAACACTATGACGTATAAAGTATTCAAATAATTTTTATTCTTCTTTAATAAATTTGCTCATTTGGTATGTTGAAATGAAGATTTAAAACAATGAATTTGGAAAGGCGAGTCTGTGTCTATGTAGAAGGCTCAGAGTCAGAGGAAATGAAAGGAACAGCTACCTCTTGAATGGATTGTGAGTTACCTCTTTTTTGTGGTAATAATAGACAGTTTTCTTGTAGCCCTACTGAAGAAGGATGACTAGGTAACCTGTTGTCTTCTGTCCAGTCTTGTCTAGAGTTTGGGAATCCACATTTGGCAAGCGTTGAGTAGTCCCTTCAAAATGAGGAAGACCCCTTCCCTTTTCTTCTCTTTTTTTGATTTGCTCTCTGAGCACATTACTCTTCTAATATGTTCTTTGTTTTCTTTTGTATCACCTACCTGAATTTGAATCACCTATTTTTTTACTTTTTGGATATGGCATTTTCTGTTCCCTAATCTTTTGAACTGATTTGAAAACTAATCTGGAAAAGGTACTAGAACCTAGATTTGGTCATACTGCAGGGTCCAATTTTGGTCCCATAAATACAGCAATATGTATTCTCTCTCTTCTACGTAAGCATTATAACATCTATTATGTAGGAATAGTTTCTATCCCCTAATCTGATTTAGAGCTGAACTATTAGTTTTTCAAAATTATTATTTTTTTAAAAGAATTTTTAAGGATGATAAGGGGCTCATGATGTAAATGGGAGGAAGCCTGATACAGAACCATTGATATTATAGGGTTATTTCAATTTTGTGAGTCCATTGCACTGCAAAAATTTGAAAGATAACTCAGAATTTTATACAGAGTTTTTATCTCTCCATGGTGGAATTTTGATGATCTTAATTTCACTTTTTTGGTACCTTTTCTGTTTTCTCCAAGTTTTCTCTTGTAAGCATGTCATACTCTACTATTTAGGGAAATTGCTTTTTAAAATCATTGAGAACATTGATAGTCATGCCAGAAGTTAACTTATATTGTTAAATGTATGGAAGCCTGAATTCTGTCTTGTAAATTTTGTCCTTATTGTGAAACTTATTTTAGAGACATAAGATTATAAAATGTGGCTGTTCGAATAGTCCTACATTTTAGTCCAGCCTAATTCCTGATTTTTGCATGTAAAATGTGCAAGATATGTGCATAACAATATGCAGAATATAATGTCAGATAATGTACTGCTTTAAAAAAAAACCTCACTTAAAAAATTAGATCAACAAGACAAATAGAAACTCTTTGATATTCTTCATAATCTTTTTTATTTGCTTGTCAAATTTGGGCAGCATTGTGTCTGTTGTAAGTATAGCTAAAGTAGTAAATAATGAAACTAATATTTTTTTTGTTCATTAAAACATTCCTGAGTTTTTTCCACTTTTGGGAAAGGTATTGGACAATACAGTTTTAAATAACTATGTGAATCGATGGTAGCTGGTTTATTTACAGGATTAACCTATTTGTTGTAATGGTGTTTAACTTTAGCTGAGACACATTGAAAACAAATTAGAAGTAGCCCCTACAAGTACAGCTGTTTGTGATTCTGTCATGGATACCAAGAAATCTGCAAGTGCTACTCGAAAAATAAGTAGAAAAGGTATGTATGAAGTTATTTCTAAAGATATTAATATGTGAAATATAAATTTTTGAAGTTAACTTTGTTTCAATTTAATTTCTTCTTATGGTCCCGTGTACAAGAGAATAACTCTTGTCAGAGACTCTGCGTCATCAGCATTTAGGTTTTTTTCTTTAGTACTATTCAGTGACTGTAGGTGACGTTTCCCCATATTTTGATCAGGGACTTCAGCACCACTGCATCAGCTTTGACAATGAGTTTTCATTTGTTTCCAGTGATGAGAATTTGATCTTGAGCCTTTGGGGGTTATATGTGCCTTTTTTTAAATTCGCAGGTGCAGTAGTATGTCACTTTGAAATTTAGTCGGCTTAATTAGATTTATATTTTTGGGGGGGTTTAAAATCATAAATGGAATATCTGTCTTATAGATGCTATTATAAATTGACACAATGCAAATATTTTCTTTGGTTACCTTTCATATATTTAATTCTGTGTTTTCTTGTTAGTGGGCCATAACCTGCAGGTTAGACCTTTCTACCAAAACTGATTTTTTTTTTAACCTGTGAGTCTGTTGGGTTTTATCTAATACTTCTTTTTTTGAATGAGAGCCTTTGGCAAAAAAATTTTATGTTGAATTTTATTTTGCATTATTTGCTCAGAATACAATCTTTCTCTATAGATGGAGTTACTATAGTAAAACCAGAATATGTTTCATCTACTTATATAATATCTAACTAGAGATGCCAGAAATAATAGATACTTAAGTTATTAGAGACTAGGCAAATTCAGAGGCAGTTGTATTTTATATTATATGTTCTCACAGATTTCCCTTTCCTTCAGATGGTAGATACCTGGATGATTCTTTGCTCAATGCTCCAACCTCCAAATCTTCTAAATCACGAAAAGAGAAATCTCGTAGTCCTCTCAGAGCTACCACCCTGGAGAGTAATGTAAAGAAAAATAATCATGTGGAATTTCGTGAACCTTTGGCTTCTTACAGGTTAGTTTTTTTGTTTTTAAGTTATCAAACAGGGCTACCCGTGATTTTTACAGTAGGATTATAGTTTATTTTCTGAGTTTTTTATTTTCTGGCTCTAGTATTATTACCTTTTTCATTAAAAAAAAAAAAAAGCAAAAAAAGTTTATATATATGAAATACTAACTTTCTACTCTTTTAGATTAAATATTTGGGGGGAAGAAGTAATAAATATTTGCTCCAGCACTACCACCATCGTAAATATGTTTCCTACAGAAAAATAGTGTGTGTTCTACATATTGAACTTTGTATGGCTTAATTTTCTTCTTCTCCTCCTTCTCTTTCCTCTTCCTCTTCTTCCCTTCCTCTTCTTTTTCTCCTCCTCCTCCTCTTCCATTAACCAGTTACCTAAAATTTCTTTCTTCTAGAGAATGTGAGTTGGTTTATTGTTTTAACTTTTTGCCAGTGGCTCTTTTCAGCAACTTAGTCAGATATGTTCAAGCTCGATGTCTGAATTTTGTTAGTATGGATAATATAAATTGCTTTGTGTTTTTGTTAGCTAATAATTTAGGATATTCAACAAAATTATCAAATTTTGTATTTTTTGAGGGACATTTTACTAATGATATAAATGTGTTTGTGCTCTTAGTATAGCAAATATTAATAAGTAATAAACACTGGACCTCATATTTCTTTCATTTATAAACATTATTAGTATTTTAAAGTGTTAATCGATAAATCAAGGAGTTTCATGATGGTGCTTGATAGTACTGGGTGTATGTACTCATTAATTTGAGAGAAATAATTTGGGAGATGGAAGTGGATTATAACTTCTGTTTTCAATGTGTTCAGTTTGATGCAATTTTGAAATATCTAAGTGAAAATATTGAGTAGGCATTTGAAAATTTGAGTAGGAATGTATACGGAAAGGTCAGGGCTAGGAATACAAATTTGAGCTTTGTCACTAGTGTTGAAGTGATAAAAACGGTGAAAAAATATAGAGAGAAGGCCAGACATTTAACCTGGGTAAAAGTACATAGGTTAGAAAGAAGAGAAAGGAAAAATTTGAAAAATAATCAGAGTTCAGCATCTTTAACTCTAAAAATGTAAAGCAAATTGCCTAGAAACATAATCACTATT